CGAACGCCCGTTTTTCCAAGCAAGGGGAGGAAATCCGGAGAAAGTTCCAGCCTATGAACATGCATCTGCAGGCCACGCTTGTGGGGAAGCGCGCAGTGCTGTTGGGGCCGGTGGAACGGTCGAGACTAGTGAAAAGGGTATCTCTGGGCGGGGCCCTTCTTTTCTTTTGTCGGAGCTTTATATTTTATTTTATTTTATTTTTTCTTGGGTTTGTATTTTCTTCCGCAGGGAGATCAAAAAAAATGGCAGGAGAACATGGGGGGTATGTATCGATTTTGATACGGAGCAGCACAGTCATATCTCTCTCTCACTCTACCCCTGAGTTAGCGAGGGAGTTTCCCTTTTTCCTCTTTAGAGGCACGGAGAAAGGACTGCTGGCACTGGAGGCGGCGGCGGCGGCGGTGGTGGGGTGGGAGACGAAAAGGCCACATTGACGTAATGCGATCTGAGGCTCATGCAAATTTCTTTTCTGCACGGAGAACGGGGGCTGTCCTCTCTGGCCGGCCCATTGAAATTTTTCTTCTTTCGCACGGGAGGTGGTATGAGCACATGCGGGAGAAAATGCGACGTGCTCCATACGCGATCACACTTCACTTGCGGGGAGCATTTAATGCTCATATGACTTGCGAGAGGGAAATAAGTGATCTAATAATATATGTTACTCCGTATTATGACAACGGAATATGGAGGTAAAATGTCCTTCAGGTCAGCCACCTTGTGGGCAAGCAAAAAAAAATAAAAAATAAAAAAAAAGGAAGCAAAAAAAAGGGAGAGGAGAAGGTGACGAAGAAGAAGAAAATATCTAAAAATTCACTCTTGTATTCCGGACTCCGTACTTTTTTCTTTTTCATCCACACCGCACTCCTTGCTTGCATACGGAGTACGGAGTACAATCTGGGTATGTATGTGTCTATCTCTTTTTTCCTTTTTGTCGCGCGGATCCCCCGAGTTCCCCACATCATGCGAGGACCACAGCTCGCACCACACACACACACACACACACCACAAGGTCCCCTGAACAGGGGGGAGGGGAAGAAGAAAAAGGAACAAGGAGAAAAAAAAAAAAAAAGAAAAGAACTTGTGACAGGTGAAACCTGTTACATACATCCGGCATGATTGGGGTGGTTCTTTTTTCCCCGGTAAGAAAAAATAGTATGAGTACATAATGACGACTGGTACGGGTTATTTCTCCGAAGGTTCTTGGGCCAAAAGAAAAAAAGAAACTGTTGGGGGAGAATGGGGAGAGGGTTCACGTCAAAGTAATCGGTTTCGCGGCCGCCAGGTTAATGCTCCCGGACTGGATCCTGCAAAATATTTTCTCCGTATCGGATATGACATGATCTCGGGGTAAGAGAGAGATTTACGAGGTTCAAAAAGAAAAAAAATGCCCCGTCCCTGTTTCGTTATGTAAGAACCTGTTCTAATGTTCTCGAACTTCCATCATTTCTGTGGTCGCCGCCGTCCATCGCCTCCTGTCTTTTGCCCCCCCCCGGCATCGCCCGACAATTCCAGCAGCCACCGCGCCGACTTATTATCGTGCCGTTCTCCCCGGAAAAAGGGCCAGGCGGATAAAAGAGCGCCGGCAGAGCTTAGCGCCGAATCAGCCAATCGCAGGTGGCGTAGGGCTCGCCCGTTTTTCTTTTTTTTGCCCATTGAAATCCCTTTCATTCACTTTCTTGCTTCTTGGGACAAAGGGCAAAAAAAAAAAAAAGAAAAAAAATACGCCGGTGGGGAAACTCGGGGAAAGTGAGGAAAATCTATGGAAGGCAAAATTCTTACCGCCCGTGTCTCTGGTTCTCCGCGAGCTAAATTAATACTTCTCAATCGCGGCCTCGTTTTACAATATGGTATGTCGTAGCACGGAGGAACGATAGAAAGGAATGTTCTTTTTGTTAAAACCGCGGTCCAGCTTTGTTAGAGATTAATGATTCCTCTTCCGAACGTGCGGACTTCGCCGTGAGTATGTGTTGGTTATGGGGGTAACGTCTGGGGCTTGTCTCGTCCAGTACGTACTGTACATACTCAGTACACACTCCGTACGTCCATCCAAGCGCTGATGGATGGGGAAAGGAGTTCAGGGGCAAAAAAGACCAGGCCTGGCTCGCCGATATCCCGGGTCCGTGAGAAAGTATGGCGGTTGTGCTGGCAGTGGACTGGACGGATGATGTGATGGGATGATGATTGTCCTACTGTACGCCGCGCGCCGCCCCCCCCCCTTCTCCCCACATCCCATTACTTTAAATTTTCTTGAATCTCGGCAGATGTAATCGAGTCGCTGAGAACTTGACAGCGAAACGGTTTCTCACATGATAAATTTCATTATGTACTGTGACCTCACCTTGTAAAGCGTGTGTACGGAACCAAGAAGATCTCTTCCCAAATGCCTTTTTTTCGCACACGGGGTAAACGAGGCGATCCCTCCCAAGTTATCCGAATATCATCACGGATTTCTTTTTTTTTTTTTTTCAATATGGGAAAGAAAGGGAAAGAGAAGGGAAAGGATGCCATAGACAACTAATCCATGTCTTGCCTTCGCTTTCCGACTCGAGCACGAGCTGAAGAAAGCAGCAATACAAGAGCAACCTTGGAGAGAAAAAAAAAAAAAAATAATACTAAAAAAAGAGATGATGACATGGGGTTTAGGCACGAAAAAAAAAAAATTAAAAATAAAAAATAAAAAAGATAGGTAACAGCCTTTTTTTTCAACGTCGCATCTCTCCCAAAACATGGAACCAACTTCATGATTCCACTGCAACAGTGATTTATTGCTTTTTTTTCTTTTTCTTTTTCTGTGAATCCTTCTGCCCTATGCCCTTGTTTTTCCTTTTTGATGCCTGGCCTGCAACCAATGTCACTTAGCTCCACCTCTGCACTTTTATATTTAAAAAGAAAAATAAAAAAAAAAAAAAAAAAAAAAAAAATTCATGACAGTGTCAGCCACACAAATCACCATGTGGCCGTTGTAGTTTTTGTGCCTTTGGAGAAAGGAGGGGACCCTGTGAAAAAAACTAGTAGAAGTCAAAAAGCTCCCTCGTGGGCATGAAGGTACCGTATGTGTGGATGATGCGATTCGATCGCATATCCTTTATTTTTTTTTTTTTTTTTGCTCTCCCGAAAATTTGCCCAGGAAGCAGAGTTTACGCCAATCAGAACGTGCAGCAGGGCTCTGTGGTTGACGGCCTTCCTGGATGTTCGAGACGGGGTGCCGAGAACCGTGTGAAATGTGTCTTGAGGCCTTACCAAGGCGTGGCCCCGAAGGATGGGGCAAAGAATGAACTGTTCAGGCCGGGCATCTTCCCCATCCATCTTGCTATTATTAATAATTCCTTTTTCTTTTTTATTCTTCTTTATTTATTAAAGCGGCCAATGAGGTTGGGCAGACGCGAAAGGTACTCGGGGGTCTAGATGGGGAGGGTTTCGACGTGATCTGAGCTGGACATCATCTCAGAAACTATTACTTGCTGCCGGGAGGATTTGAATGTGGACGAAAGGCATAATGAGGAGGAGAAAGGGCTTTGCGCCCATTTTGCTGACAACGTGTACGGGGTATTGAGTTTTCAGATGAACTGGCCCGAGTGATGGACGGTCATCCAGGACGGTCGTTCCTTTTCCTTCCTTTCCTTTTTTTTTTTTTTCCCTCCCTAGGCATGAAAAATATGATTCACAGGTTCGGCTGGTTGAAAGGGAAGTTTAATTTTATAAAAGAGGACTGAAAGTTGGACGCCACGCCAGTTAAGTCATAGGTTCTGGGTTGTCGGGGGGGAGAGTGGGCAGTTTCGGAGCTGATGCCGGGCGGAGGACGCCCACAAAGCGTAGCATCGTCGATTGTCGGATACGCTAGCGAACTCACTTCAGCTCAAGTCCGGGGGTTGATTGTGTCATCGGCGCCAGTGAGATACAGTGCTAGTCTGGGTTGAGCGACAATCAATCAATGACAATGCCGTGTCGCAAGAAGGACCTGCTTGCTGGGCCCCACGGGCGTCGACCGCGCCATGGCTGATGCGCAACAGGGGACCGCGGTGGCTATGTGGTGGAGGGTTCGGTACTTGGGGTCGCCATACAGTTCTGAGGCAGTGGCCCGGTACCTTTCCCCGGTTAGTTGGCTCCGGCCGGATCTGCCCTACGAAAGTCTGGAGAGGAGGAGACTCGTCATCGTTGTATTGGTACTTTTCGCTGTCCCCGGCGTAACTTACTCCACATCCCACCACCACGACCACGACCACGAACCACCACATTTTTCCATCTGCTCGTGTGAAAATCTTTTTTTTTTTATCATATTTTTTTTTTTTTTTTTTTTTCCCTCTTTTGCTCTCCCTTAACCTTGTCGGGCCTCAGAACCTTCTTTTTTTTTTTTTTTGCCTTTTTTTGCCTTTTTCTTCCTTAAACCCTCGACAAGCCCGCTTTTTTCTTTTGTTCCTGCGGAGCAAGCTCAGGTTCTGTTCGTTTCTTTTATATTGACTAAGCCTCCTCCTCCCAACCCCGGAACCCTCGCTTTTCCCTTTGATATTATTTCTCTTCTCTCCCTTGCCCACTCTTTCTCCCTCCCCCGGTCTCTTCGTTCGCACGTCATCCAAGCTAAACACCGATCACAAGTCGACCTCCCCATCACATGTGTTATATGTCTGGGGCGACAATCCTATATCCTCGAACCGAACTCACTCTACCCCAGACAAAAATCCATCCATTCTCCGGTATGTGCTGATATTCCCTACCCTTGCTCTCAAACCCTGCCTGGCCCCGTTCCTGCTTTGCTGCTGTTGTTGCTCTCTCTCTCTCTCTCTCTCTCTTTTTTGTTTCTCCGCCCGTCCCTTATCTCCTGAAATTTCTCAACTCTCGACCCGGCTCCACTCCGTGCTCCATCCGCAAGATCCCTGTGGTCCGGCTTTTTTCCCTCCAGCCTGGCGCCGGCCCCCCGGCCCTCCCCTTAGCCTGCTGTGCCCCTTATTAAGCTGATCTCCGCCCCGAACGCTCACCCTGCTTTTCTCTCTCCCGCCTGAATGAAAAGAAAGAAAAAAAAAGATTTAGCACGCACCGGATTCTCCACACTTGCACATGCAACATTCTCACTGTCTCACAAAATAACACACACATACACACAAAACATCCTCACACAACTTCGGCTTACCTCTGTCTTCCTTTTTATTTTTTTTTAATTTAATCTCTCTTTGCTTGTTTGATCTACAGGAGCATTGATCAACTGATCCCTCATTCAGACTCACAGTCACTTTCACCCCATCTTGAACACTTCACACACACACACACACACACACACATATTTCGTCCGATCACCTGTCACCGGCATTCTACCCGAAACCCTCAACAGAAAAGTTCCTGAGCATACCCACGTCCGTCAACTCAGGTGACACGGATCACACACCATCCGATTCTTCAGCACATTGCTTTTGTTCTCTCCGCCATTCCACTTTCAACGGCCACTCGTCTGAAGAATCTCCGCTTTTCTCGAATCCCTAGCGGGACCTTGGAAGTCATTCGATCGATCTCAATCCCGCAATTCTAGACCACGTCATACACCCTTCCCTCCGTCCGTGCACACAACAAACTCCCTTCATTAACCGCGCCCAGCGATCATCTTACCAAAAAAAAACCAAAAAAAAAAAAAAAAAAAAAAAAAGTGTAAATGCCACGTTCCTCAGCGGTGCCCTTTTCAGATTTATTAAACCCGCAGAGTCAACCTGGTGACGGTCCATCAGCTCCCCGGACCCCTTCAAACCAACCCGCTAAATCTGCCACGTCCAGTCCAGCAATGTCTTCTGCTTCAGTTAGTCTCCTGCCTCCCCTGGCCAAGGGCCAACGCTCGACCACAGACGAGCCCCGTCAAGAGCTGCCCCGTCCCTACAAATGTCCCCTCTGTGACCGTGCCTTCCACCGTCTGGAGCACCAGACGAGACACATCCGCACACATACCGGAGAGAAGCCACATGCCTGCCAGTTCCCCGGCTGCTCGAAGAGATTCAGTCGATCAGACGAGCTTACCCGACATTCCCGAATCCACAACAACCCAAACTCGAGAAGAGGGAACAAGGCCCAGCAGCTGGCGGCAGCTGCTTCCATGAACAACATGGTCGATGCCAACGCGGCCGCTGCCGCCGGTATGATGCCACCTCCCAGCAAGCCAATTACGAGATCAGCTCCTGTCTCCCAAGTCACCTCTCCAAACGTATCTCCCCCACATTCTTACGTCACCTATGCCACCCATCTGCCCTCGAATCTTGGTCCTTATGGACGGGCAGCCGGTGAGCGCCCGCCTTCTGCAATGGATATGAACATGCTCGCGACTGCTGCATATCACGTTGAGAGAGATGATCTTGCTTCCTACCACTACTCCTCGAACACCGCTCCTCATCGGCCGCAGTACAGCAGTGGACTTCGCCCGGCATCTCACCACTCGCATCATTCACTCCACCCCGGAACCCGACTTCCCTCCCTGTCCGCCTATGCGCTATCCCACTCTATGTCTCGGTCCCACTCGCAGGAGGAAGATGATTACGGCCACAGAGTCAAGCGATCGCGACCAAATTCACCAAACTCGACAGCTCCCTCGTCTCCTACCTTTTCTCATAACTCACTCTCGCCTACTCCCGACCATACTCCTCTCGCAACGCCAGCTCACTCTCCACGCTTGAGACCATTTGTTGCCAACGATTTGCATCTGCCGGCGCTCCGACACCTCTCTCTTCACCACACCCCCGCCCTGGCTCCAATGGAACCGGCCACGGAACCACCGAAGCACTACTCTCCAACACAGCCCCATGTCGGTCCTTCTATCTCCGACATCATGTCCCGTCCGGATGGTACTCAGCGGAAGCTGCCTGTGCCGCAGATCCCCAAGGTTGCCGTGCAGGAAGTTTTGAATCCGGGCAGTGGCATCTCCTCCGGTAACTCTTCCGTCGCCGGTGGTGATCTCGCAGAACGCTACTAGTTACCGGACTTCGAAAACAGGGAAAAAAAAAAAAAAAAAAAAAAAAAAGAGATCCTCAATATGCTACAAACTTTTTGATCCTCACTGCATTTCTTGGCGACCATAGCGATAAATTACACGGAGTTTTCTAAAGAACATAGACGGAACTGGTTGTCGGTGTTGTTTTTCTTTGTCCTTACTTTTTTTTTTTTATCAGATTTGATCGTTCGAATCAGGAAAAAGCGATATTATTTCCTAACTTGTTAGATATCTTTCCCCCAGTTTCATATTTTCCTTGCCCACAAAAAGCAAACTTCTTCAGGCTCTGCTACCTGCCTTGGGAGAAACTCTCTACTCTCGACTCTCATTTGTTGGAGTCTCGGGTAAACGGTTGACCAAGGAACCGCGGCGCCTATCGGGCCACTTTCCCGAGACATCCCTTATATCTTCCGAGCATGTATTCATCGCGAGGACTTCTGCTGTCCGGCACTCCCTTTCCTTTTTTTTTTCCCCCCCCCTTCGTTTGCTCATCGGTTTCCTTTGCCTTTTCCTTGCCTCCTTCAAATGTCAGAAAGTTGTATTACGAAACCAAAGATAGATCTGGGACTATGAAAATAGGCTGAAAGAAGAAGCACAGTCTATATTAAAACAACACCAGTTACCGGGCAACCGAGATGATATTATATCTAATCAAGAAACAATTTACTTTTTCTTTTTTGACATGTTTCTTTTTGCTTTTTGCTTGCTTTCTTTCCTATGGCACTTTGTACTCTACAGGCTGTTTAGGCCCCTTAGACACGGGGTGATAAAGTGGATTTCCTAGGCTTTTTCGTCCCTCCTGTTTTCTTCAGAACCCCCGCCCTGTTCCTCGTTGTCAGATCCTATCAAAATGGATTAAAAAAAGATAAGAGAAATGAAAAGGAAGAGTTTAAACTAATAATAGCAGAAAATCTAACATCCATTAACCACAAGAATACAGAGAACAAGGTACATTTATACTTAACTTCTACACTGATACAACTGAGCAAGCCTAAATGTGAAACAAATCCTGTTGAACGATGACGTGCGGGTTGGAGCCGCGCCATCGAAGGAAAGCCCCCCAAAAAAAAAAAAAAAAAAAAAAAAAGAAAAAAAAAGGAAAAAAAAAGGAAAAAGAAAAAGGAGCAGAGCCAGCCGTCGGCCTTTCAAGAAACTTTTGTCGGAAACTTCTGAATGAGCGGCGAGGCTTAATTCTTCTTCCCTTGCTCGAGGAGCACGGGGGTTTGATTCGGGGGTGATTTCAGTGCGTGATGATGGCCGGTCGAGTTGAACTCTCCAAGGTTTATCGGCACAAAAATTGACTTTTTCGTTGTGAACTGCAAAGTCAATATGTACTCCGTATGGACGGAGTGCTTCTGTACTCTGCATGTGTGTTATGTTTCATCCAACAATATCTCCATGCCTTTCGAACCTTGTGTGTGTGCGCGGGGGGAGCAAGTCATTTTTGAAATTGGGATGAGGTTTGTTTTGCTTGTGAATTTTGTCTAGACCCTTTTCTCGGCGCAACCGGGGGAAAGGGGGGGAGACCAGGGGGCGTGGAGCGGGTGGGTGAAGGAACTCTGCCAGTTTAACAACCTCAACGCTTACGCTGGCTAAACGTCGATCAGTGCATATGTACGGAGTATGCTTCTATGGAGTATGTTGGAATGTTGGATGATAATTTTGTTTAGATGCCGCACTTTGGATACCCGGTATGCATACATGCATGCTCCGTACAGCTGTAGTGTCCTCCGGACGTAATTTTGTACTAGAAGAAGCGGGAAGAGAAGAGAAGAGGATAGCAAGTTCTGCCCCCTCCCCTGATAAGCTTGCGCTTTGGCCTTGCAAGGGGGGATTGAGTTTGAAGTAACAACATACATACATCTATGTGGGGATCGAGAGCGTTGAGGGTGGTTTGGATCAGAACGTGCCAAGGGGGATTCCGGCGATGTATCGGATGGCAAGGGAAGAGACTGGGGAGGGCGGTCAAAGGGGAAAAGAATAAAAATTATACGTGTCTCCTATTGAGATGGTTATTCCGTGCCTCTCGAATGTACAGAGTAGTTTGTACGTAAAATTGACGTAGGCTACTTAACTGCGGAGGATCCTCTTGGACAAACAACAAGGCAGCAATCGAAAGCCCCCTTGCCGCCAAAATACTCCGCAGAGGCTGGGTGGTGCGGCCAGGGACCGGGGGTGATTTGTGGTGGAGGCCTCGGAGGAAAAAAAATTTGGGATGCTGGCATCTTTCTTCTCGTCCCTTTTTTCGACCCCCTAACCCTCCCTAACTATTTCCTCCCTTGAAAGCCTTAAAAACGGACTACCCCTGCCCCATGCTGAGAGGTTGCATCGCTGGGGCCCTGAGAGAGAAAAAGACACCAAGTATACGTACACTCTCCGCATGGGCATGGAGAATCGGCGATCGAAAGGTTACACAGAGAGGGATCTCGCCCTGAAAAAGTGGGTTAAGGCAGAAAAATAAAATAAAATAAAAAAAGACGGAAGGGAAGAAGAAGAAACACGGGACAAGGAAGAGCGATATTGGTGTATCTACTTGTATCTTCGATTTCATCTTCTTCTCTCCTCCGTGGAGACAAAGTCGCTCATAGATTTCAAACACGGCGGACTTCTACTTCCCTTGTTACATTCTCCTCGCTCCTCTTCCTCCTGGGGTGGAGCAGATTGCACGACCTCAAGACCTGACGATCAAATCCTTCTAGCAAAAGCTAAAAGCAGACGGAAGAAACTGCGCTGATGAAGTACATCATACGGAGTGCTCCGGAAACCACCAGCCTTTACTTTGGTTTTCGTCCTCTTTTCACCCCTCTCCTTCCTTGGCCGGACAAAAGGTGGCGAATTCGACGCAATCCGACCAATTCGCAAGCCAGCTGAGGAATGAGGGGAAAAAGAAATCAAATCCAAGGATCAAATGGATGAGACATTGGGTTGGCAAGAATCCCTCTTCTTTTTTTCGGTTCTTGCCTCTCGGTAAATGACATGTCCGTTGATCCTTTGGTGTACATATAACGCGAGTATGGAATTACTCCGTATGGGGTACGGAGTACATTGAGAGCACAGATACGCAAAAATCATGCAATGCATGGAAGTTTGATTTTTGGGCTTTTTTTTTTTTTTTTTTCTGTTTTCCTTCTTTCTAGAAGTTCTAGAAATTCAATTCCGGACTTGGATGTTCGGTGCCCTACCCAGAACCCCCTGCACGCCCCTCCCTTCCCCTTTCCACACTTCGTCCTTGTGTCTCGCGGTGCTGCGAGGGGACGTGTCTTGGGTGGGGACGGAGGAGTGAGGGAGGGATCGTGCGATCGGATATCATAGGAGGTATTATTATGCATGAGCTGGTCCATGTCAGAAACTGTGACTCGGGGGTCCATTCTGGATCTCTTGCTTGTTGGGCTTGAGCCGAGTGTGGAACCAGGAGAATCATGCTGGCTCAGGGTTGCTGAGGTGGAGAGTTGACGACGAAAGTGAAGATTAAGAAGAGGGATATTTGCAGTATAGCTACCGGGAAGGACGGCCTGAAAACAGGATTCGTGTCTGCTGTGCCCTCCCAGGCGCCGAGACAAGGTTCTTTGTACGTCCATCCTTGTTCTGCGCGGATTCCACAAACTTCTAGCGAGGCTTTTCCCTCGAGGTCTTTCTTGGCATTCTTGGCGCAAGGGAAGAGATGAGATGAGATTGAGATAAGATAAGGAAAATGATCGAGACACGGTCTCTGATTGGCTGTTATTTATCCTCCAATCAGAGTAAGAAGAATATCCGAAATGCGAACGCGAAGCGACGAATGCACGCTTTGCAGTGGATGCTTTCTCTCCCAATGGTCCAGAACTGTCAACCGTCGCCGAGTTTGCATGAAGCCTGGCGGTTAGTTCCGGGTCCGAGTTATGTGCTTAGTTAACTGGTAAGCTTGTTAACGGCATGTTCGCTGGGCCTCGGTGTAATTCATCCAGCCAAGTCGCATCAAAGCCATCCATCTAATTCGCCCGCCCAACTGCAAATGTAACGAGGCCATTGGGATGCAACCAGACTGGGTACGTTGACAGCATAGCGTATGGATATCCTCCATTGGCGCAATGAGAATTGAGAGCGTGGGCCCTCCGATGGTTTCTACTCAGGTCGAGAGGTTTTATCCTAGCTGTGACTTTGAATTTGTGCCCTCTCACATCACTTCTATAGACTCAAGCCTCAACTCCGTTGCGTTCGAGGCAATGAAAGACACATGGATAAAGAAACAACTCCTTACCATCGAAGCAATTGAGACACTGCCTTTCAAACGCTGACCTGCAAGGCCCGACGGCTCTCTAAAGTTGCTGGCAGGCCCATCGCCGGTACTCATCCTCAGGATTGTGTCGCACCGGAATCTGTGTCATCAAAAGTTCTTCTGTTTGGAATGCCGGTGTCAAACCCCACACGGGTGAGACAAAGATCACCGCCTTTGCTCTCCTTCAATTTCATGGGGTCAATTAGGATGCACAACCGGAGTTTCGCCCCAGGTATACCTTCATATCAGAAGCCTGTGTGAAGACACTCAGGCCCCTCTGAACAGTCGGGAATAGTGTGTGTATACAGGAAGAGCTCAAATATATGTGTACCTCCCATATTTGATTTTGTCAGAGAGCAAAGGGATAGAAAGGAAGATAGAACTTTGTGGCACAGAGTGCTCCAAACATTTGCAATTTTTTTTTTCCCTGCAATGGCTATCAAATGACAATCAGTGGGAGTGTGCGAGATTACTGCGTGGATGTAATTAGTCTTGCTGAGTGTATGATGGTTGCTTTCGCGTCACTGTGTATGATATGTCTGATGGCATAGACATAACATATACCAATTAGGCTTTGGACCCATTGAGATGGTAAATCCCCCAATAAATATCTGAGCTTATTGCCAGTGCATCTGGGGGTCAGCTTCTCATATTCTTAAGAATTTAGTAGAGGACAGGAGACTACAGTGGTTTTGTTGTTGGTCATGGTCTGAGAGAGCAAGGAAGTGGCAGGACAAAGAGCTGCCACACGGAGACAACAAATTAAGGATTAATCTATTATTTGGTGGATTGTTACTCTGTATTTTGTAGAGTGTGTAAGAGAAGCCTGAACTGTTCTGGGTGAAGTTCTAAATCTGATATACGAAAATGTTATAAGTTTTCGTTCGTCGCGTTCTGGCTGATGGCGCGGTGTGGTCGTGACGTCACGGGGTACCTTCCAGCTCGGCCGCGGATTGATTGGCGGCAGCGGGATTAACTCTGGGCGGGTTCGAGAGCGCTAAGGGCACCAGCTAAGGGCGGTTAGGGCCGACCGGCTTTGGCGACAAACAAAATCCGAGCCGCGTCCACGCTAACTCGTTTTAGGTCTTAGTGTCGGCTTTGCGTTAAGAGCGGCGCGTCAATATCTCGGTGTGTGGGCACCTCGTCACAAAGCGCGATGACATCCCTCCTTTGCTCGTTGCATTGAACTGCCCTGACTGCTCTCGCCGCCTGCTGCTCAGTGGATTTTCACGCTCCTGGTGCTTATTAATAGAATACTCCGTCATGGCACCACCAAGGCAGCGCGGAACAGCCGCT